CTATGTACCTTGTACAATAACACCGTTATTACTATTACTATTATTATTATTATGACCTTTATAAAGTTGCTTTCATTATTAACAATAGTTCCTTTCTGCATTATCCTTATTTTCTGTACAATTTTTTTTTCTTCTGATACTTCCAAGTGTCCAAAAGAAAGCAGTCAAAATGAACTTTTTACCTTGTAGGTAGAATGTTAAATATATTCCATTGAAGATATATAATCATTATTATTGTTTCCTTTAATTCCTAGAGGGACATAGGGCTTCAGCCGTGCGTCTCCATTCGGTTCGGTCCTCTGCAAACGTTTTCACCTGGCTCTACGTCTGACCACATGCTTTCATCTCCTCTTCACATGACCTCCTCCAAGTCACCCTTGCACTGACGACCAACTCACCGCTTTCCTTTCGGGTTCCACTCGAGCAATGGCTTGTCTAGTGATGTCACTTGATGGTTTCCTCAGAGTATGGCCAATCAATCCATCTCCATTTCCTTCTGCCTATTTGTTTCACAATCGGTTCCTGGTTGGTTCGCTTATTGCCAGAGATCCTTGTTGCTGATCTTTTCTGGCCGGCCATCTGATCTTGAGTACTGAGCGAAGACAACTGTTGATGAAGGTCTGTAGTTTGTTTGAGGTGCTTTTTATGACGCGCAGTGCAAGTCTCTGGTCCGTATAGTAGCACTGATTTCACAATGGAGTTGAAAATCCGGATCTTATTTTTGATGCTGAGTGCTGTTATTACTGGCATGTATATATCGTTATGAATTTTATATATCATTAATAAGAGTACTGTAGAGAGACATCACAAAATCGTTAGTTGAGAAAAAAACTTTCAAATGTTAATTTGCAGGAAGTGGTTTGATCGGTCACAGGATTTCATCATGAGCTAACATCGATTAGAGGACGATTTCAAGGTTTGGAAAGCTGTTTCGTCCTGCTTTGAGACTTTTCATCAGTACGTCTTGCCTTCCCGGACGGTGTTCAGTAGCTTGATTGCATTCAACATTTCTGCTTTCGTTGGAGGATTGGTGTCCACTGGTGGTAGGCAGTTTTGTGCGTGCTGTTGATGGTATATCTCTCTCCGATTTCCAGGTAATGGTCGATTTTTAAGAATCCTTTGAAGTGATCAGCCCATTGTTTTATTTTTGTTTCTCCTAACTCCTTTATTGGTTTCATCATCTGGCTTAATCTCTTCCTGGATAGAGATCTGGTTATCTGATATAATGTTCTGAGGTCTCTTTTACCTGCTCCCTGACTGTTCTGCTTCAGTTGCTGGCCAGTGTGTCGTAGAATTGTCTTAGAGCTCTTCTTCACTTCTTTGTTCAATGCAGTGTACATTGAACTCAGCTTCTCCTTCTGTTCTCCATCTTTGCATTGACTCATCTTCTATTTCACCATCCTACTCTCCTCTCTTCTATTAGCTTCCAGGTAGGTGTTTGTTAAGAGCCATTCCTTGTATCGCTGCTCCTTTCTTCCTTCCTAGGACAGTTGTATACGTTTCCTTGAATATCGCCTTCAGAGATTTCCTATGTTCTTCCAAGCAGGTTTCCTCGGTGATAACATGTACTATCTCCGACTCTGTTGTGATCTGATGTGTAGTGAAGGCGTCCCTTGTAGTTTTGGTCCTTCAGTTTCTGAATGTTGGACTTCAATTACAGTGGCCTGTCTTCAGTTGTTCTCAAGGATTCCAGCTTCCCCTTAAAGGATCCTTGAACTAGATGATGGTCTAAGCCCACATCTGCTCCCCTTCTGGACATTGTGTCCAACCGGTTAGCTGTGTCTCCACTTCCTTGAGATGAAATCTATCTGCCTTGTGGTGTTGTTGTCAGGCCAAATCCATGTTGTTTTATGTACATCCTTGTGCTTGTAAACGCTGCCTCCGATTACCAAATCATTGGAAGCGCAGAAGTCTGCGAAGAGTTCTCCGTGACTCATGATGAGTTCTCTTCCTGTGTTATGTGCTCCCAGTTCGGCTTGCATTCATATCGCCCATGAGGATTTTGATGTCACCATTCGGGATGCTGTCCATTACCTTTTGTAGTTGTCTGTAAAAATCTTCATTCTTCTCTTGTTCCGCGTTGTTTGTAGCATTGGACAATTATGACCTTCCTTCCTTTTGAGTTGAATCTTGGTGTTGTATTCATAGGTAAAATTGGTTCCCACTGCATTGAGATTTTGGCTACCACTGGTGATATCATGATAGTTACTCACTGCCTCAGTGTGCTCTTGGTTGTCGGCTGGGTAACCTGAGTAGATTACTGACTCACCAGTTGACAATTTTGATACTCCACATCCATTCCTTCTGCTTTGGCAGATTCCCAGCACTTCTTTACCATTTCTCCTCGTATCTTTGGCTACCTGGGCAGCCTTTCGAGCCAGTCTCGTGCATTGTACGGACATTCCACGCCCCCCATCCTTATTCTTGCTTGCTTTCATCAAGAGAAGACACATTGGTTGACTGGCTTTCACCATCCTGCTTTGTCATTTCGCCTCTCCGATTCTCGAAAAGAATAAGTTTGTTTTTTATATTTTTCGTATTCTCAATATTTTTCTTGTACGTTGAGTTTCTGTAGCAGTTTGACTGGTTTTATGGGGTGGGGTTGTTATCCGCGCACTCAACCCTCCCTCTTTACCTGAGCTTGGAACCGGCTAGAAAATTAGCGAGCTAGTTAGCTAACCGAGGTTATCATGATATTCACTACACTCAAAACACATATTTTGTTGGATTTCATCATTCGCCTACACACAGATTTGTCAATCATAACAGTTATGTAGAGCTGTGACTAATAATTAGGCTAAGCGATCGATTACCAACTTCCGGATCTCAGGTTATAAAACATTTATTCCATCTATCAAGGCAGTATCATTATCCATCACATACACACACAGCAGGTGTGTGTGGCTCATTGCCAAGAGCACGGAAATACCACATGCGGTCATTGATTTAAACACACGCTATACAGAGTCAAACTACAGGAGGTAGTAAAGTAACTCGTGATCACTGTGCTTTCGAAATATATAAATATAATCGCCTCAGTACACTCGTAATAGGTAGAAGACAAAAATAGTATTACCAGTGGTGTGAAATAAAATGTTCAGTAAGCATGTAGATTAAGTGTGAATAGAGATTGATAATAGACACGAATGATTAACTCTCTGATTGGTCGTCTTTTACACAATCGCAGTTAACCAATCACATAACAGTTCAATCGTTAGTCATAGTTGTATAGATTTAACATCTGTATGTGATTGGTTGGCTTTCAAGCCAATTATCGATTGTTATTAACACAATATCATTTATGAAGTAAATTTCTCACCAGGTGTTTGGTTTGCAGCTGTTTTCTCCTAGTTTGGGGCCACTCGTCAGCTGTATTCATTCAGCGGGATTCGAACCCAAGATCTTCCGGCTACAATCACTGGGACCCGACTCCTCAATGGCCAGCCGATGAATTCTAACTTCTACGAATTCGTGATTTTAGTGCGCCTGGCACCAGCCAATGTCATCCATGGTGGATATTAATCCTCACTCCCGATCTGTTGGTGAACCCCACTGGTCACGGTGTCTCAGTAGAACTTCAGGAAACTTCGTCCTATAGCCAGCCAGTCAGTGACTAGCGAACATCAGATTAATTTTCAAGAGTTTGTTCGTGGGGAGGGAAGGGTGTTTTTGATTTGTTCGAAATTACATATAGTCACCAAAGTGCCCAAATTTTACAAATATATTAACCTTGAACGTATATTTTTTTATCAGTAAGGTGGATGGGTGTAGGAAAAGCGAGCAGACTATTGATTATGAGTCATTTTGAAAGCCCCCACCCACCTCCCGCTTGCAAAAAAAAACACTTAGCATAGATAGCTTAAAGGGGAACAACTCCCTTTCATTTCAAGCGATTATTGTCTGAATTCTAGTCGAATCTCTCTTTAGAAACGACTTCACTCGCCCACTCACTAAGGAGATGCAGGTACACGCACATACACGGTCGGTCGGTTTTCGACATAGAACTTTGCACATATGTGAGGCAGTTCAAGTCGCCATTGTCCATGTAGCACACAAATCAAGAGAAAAAAGTAGGAGAAATGCATATTAAAGACAGTAAACAGAGGTGTGAGACAAAGGAATAGTAATAACGAAGAACAAAACAGTTTAATTGGAAATCATAAGTCACAAGGAGTGGATGCATCTGCGCCATTGAGAACGACTTTGAGCCATGTCACCAATTGTCTCCAGCCGCCATTGGTTTTTACCGTCCCGAGGACCCTAACCAGTCAGGAAGTCTACACCTACCTACGTGGCTGGATTAAACTAACTGTTGTAGATTTCATTGACTGGTGAGGCCATGTTTTGATTTGACCGCCGCTAGCTCTTTTCCAGCCTGATCCTATATCAGCTAACATTGCCCATTGTCGAGGAAGGCGATGACTAGGCATACGTAGCACATGTCCTAACCATCTCAGTAGATGTAATTTCACAGTCTCGTCGACTGATTTCCCCGCCTTACCTAGCACTCGACCGGTGCCTAACCTCAATATTGCTCACCTTATTATTCCACCTCACGCGGGAGATAGAACGCAGACACCTATGATCGAAGACAGCTAATCTTTTCATTTCTTCCACTCTCAATGGCCAGGTCTCATAGCCATAAAGGAGGATGGAACGGACTGTTGAGCAGTACACACGCCCTTTGGTCGATAGCCAGTCAGATATCACGTCTACGCCAGAGACGGCGTAAACTGGCATAAGCGAAACTAGCCCTCTGTATTCGTACTGAGATTTCGTCAGAGATCAACCCGTTGGGGCTGATGGTACTTTCCGAGTAAGTGAAGCGGTCAACGTGCTCTACCACTTCACTTCCTATTTCTAATCTAGGGGTCAGTGTAATTCAATCCTGCAGCATCATCTTACATTTTACAGGGGCGAATCGCATACACACACAGACAATCAGCTGAAGAGTCCCAAAATAAGAAAAGAAACACATGCATCAAATAAACAAAATGATTGTGGCCTTTTATATTATTGTCAAATACAAAATAAGAGTAAAAACGTTTATATTCTATTCATGATTTTATGAAAATGAACATAAACTTTCTGGTGGAGCATATAATGGAAGCGGGTTATTGAAAAAGGCTTTATCAGAACTATATGTCGCTATCTCATCTGCATTGAGTTGATCCAAATCACTATAAACTTCACAAGCTTCATAACCTAATTCAATGTAGGCGGGTATTTTCTCCTCCTCTGCCTGCTGCTCTGCCTGCTTCATTGCTTCAACAGTTTGACGGAATGAAAATCCTTTACTGACAGGATTACTTCTGTTGCTAGACAGCGACGACAATGAATCAGTTGTACGTTGTTCATTGACCGCCTTATTATTAGTGAATATTTGATTTCTTTGAGAATCCGATGATCGATTTTGTGAGGAACTGTTACCAGAGTAATTCGTATCAGGGAATTGGTTTGTACTTCGTTGGTAGATGTAGCGTGAAGATACTAGACAAATAAAAATATTACACACATACACAATGACAATAAGCCAACAATATTGTTGTTTTCAATTAGATCTTCTTCAGGCTTTACTTTAGTTTATTACATAGACTTATAAATCAGAAAAAATTTAACCAATGACGGGGAGTTTGTGGATAAAATTGTAATAATAATGATAAGAATAATAATATAAGTTAATTGGTGGATGGTGACTAGCAGTGGAATCCACGATGCGCATTCCATCCTATTTGGGACTCGTCGGCTGGATGTACCTGCATTCCGTAGTGAGTGATGATGTTCCCACCGAGGCGCGAACCCAGTGGCCATAGTTTCAAACGCCAGAGAAGGTACATCCAGATGACGAGTCCTGAATAGGACGAAATGCGCATCCTGGCTGGATTCCACTGCTAGTCATCGTCCACCAATTAACTTCTAATTACATGCCCAGATATCCTTGTCGAAGCATCTCCACAAGAAGCCGATAAGTCAACCTGAGACCGAGCACTTCGGTCCAATCAATCGACGGGAAAATCTAAAAAATTGAACTAAATAATAATGATAATAAGTGTTACATGTTTTCAACGTCAGTAATAACGGTGATGATAATGATAATAAGGTTTATGCAGGTGGCGATAAGAATAACGAAGGTAGTAATGTGGTGAGAGCTGGCTGCAAGCCAAAATTGTAGAAAACAATATATGTGTAAAACTTGGGCACTGTGGTAGTAAGTAATTCCATATTAGTTTGTTTATTAGATATATCACACAGTCAAACAAACAGTATTACTAACTGGATGACACAGTTTCGAACACAATTTACTATTTTTCATAATCATATCGTCAACTATATAATCACACGACTTCCGAACTTGAGTTTTATAGTTTTCTTTGTTCTCTCCTGTTTGTCGTCGTTAGGTGGTAGTAGAATTTACCAGATATCCGAGTGGACAGGTGATGTTGAATCATTCCTATTACACGTGTTTGCAGTTGATTCCCAGGGTGGAGGGAGAGATTGATAACAGAAGCTTTGTTTATCGAATCAACTGCAAACACGTGTAAGAGGAATGATTCAACACCTATCCCAGATATCCCGAAAATTCTACTACCCGAACGATGACAAATAGGAGAGAACAAAGAAAACTATAAAACTCAAGTTTCGAAGTCGTGTGATTATAATTGACGATATGATTATGAACAATAGTAAATTGTATTCGGAACTTTGTCATCCAGTAAATAATAATACTGTTTCATCACTGTGTAGTGTGTGATATATCTAATAAACAAACTAATATAAAACAATTTACGTCAATGTTCACGTCCCGAATCAGGGTCATGAGAAAAACAATAACAAAGCCTAACCTTGAGAAAATCACAGCGGAGTTAACGTGTGGAAATATGATTCGCAGATATATGGCTTGATTTTCTGAGAGACGGTCACAAAGAGATAATAGAATAGCCCTCAGCAAGAAAACAACCAATCAGGAGAGGTTGCTTCTCCGTTAACAATGATGTCCATAAAAATCTATAAATACCGTTGTCTTCTGTCGTTACAGTAATACATGTGTGTATATGTAGACAATGCAATAAATAAGTAATTAGGTCAAATCTTAAAAGTTACGTAATACTAAAGGTGGATGAAGTGGACAGATAATCAAAGTTTAAATAATAAATATCATAAAAATACGAAGGAAATGGAAAATAAGAAGGGGTGGGAGATTTGTTTTTCAATTAGAATTTACCCCCTAGTCCAAGGAAGAGACAACAAAGGTAGAACAAACTCCTTTTGTATGCAAAGGCACTAGGATTGTTCTCTCGAATTAATTCCCATAGCTTCGGCTATGTGTAAAAGGCGGGTTCAAATTCCGCTCGAAAGATTCTTAGGAATGTGTAATAGACAACTTTGAAGGCACTTCTTCTTCTGTCCACTTGATGACCACTATCATCAATCAAATGAGACAAAAGTAGGATATTATTTAGCTTTTTCTAAACCATGAGGGAAGATGCTCAGCGATGGTGCGTTTGTTGAGCTGTCTAGTTGTTCGCCCTGTATATCACCTTTCTCCACACAGGATCAGCTGGATTTATAAATTCACCTTGAGGTAGCACAGCTAGGCAGATTATCTTTCTCTTGAGAAATCATAATTGATCGACTACAAAATGACAAGTAAATGGTGGCGGCAGTATAAGTTCGTTTTAGATAGTTGGATGCAATCGGCCACAGGAAGCCTTGGAACTAGGTTTCGTGCTAGTTGGCACTCGCCAGTTAGCAGGGCGTATCTGCAGCCTTGAAGGAATCTAGTTACTAGTGTTCAATCAAAATGCCCACGGCAGTCCTACAGGAGGTCAATCGCGAGCCCGAATAGCTCAGTGGTAACGTCTCTGACTGTAGTACTCACTGAGTGACGCGGGTTCGAATCTCAGAAGGGACATGAGTTCCTTCAAGCCAGTTGCAGATACGCTTTGCTGACCGGTGAGTGCCAAGTAGCACAAAACCTAGGTCCAAGCAGTGCTTCCTACCGATTGCTTCCAACTATTTAATATCATCAAATCAATGTGAACCGTGATGGCGAGCCGTCACCTAGTGGAATGGTGGCCACATTGCAAACTTGACTGATAGAATTCAGTCTGCACGAAGCAAAGAACTAGACACATCACACTAGTTACTAGTGTTCAATCAAAATAAGTTCGTTTTATTGCTCTAGATAATCTTAGATGTGTAGGATTTCACTAGCCATGTCTCCATTGAATTGCAGTTTCAGGAACAGTTGTTTCTTTTTAACCGTTGTCAGTTTCTCTTTATTATACTTAGTGTTCATGTGTCTCCCATTTGGACCAGTGTACTTTGGATGTATCCTAATTCATTTTCTAAGGAGTCATCTGTACAGATCCTTCTTCCTCTATTCGTAAGGCATCTGACCAAATTGATTTTTTATCGAATTGGTACAAAACTGAGGAAATGTGTATATTGTCCTACAGACATCGGTTTTCTATAGACATCTCTCTTGAGTGAACCACCCTCTCTTCTGCTCAATTGAACACCAAGGAAGTGTAGTCTACCATCATGTTCTTCTTCACAGGTGAAGATGACGGATGGATGTGCATCATTAAATTTTATTAACATTTCATTCTTGTCAGCTTTCTCATCAAGAATAATAACAAACGTATCATCAACATAACGAAAAATAAGAATCCATTTTATCAATTACTTGTTTCAATGGACTATTTTCAAGCTTGGCAAGAAAGAAATCTGCCAAAATTGGGCCCAATCGAGAACCCATTATAATAACGTCGATTGGTCTGTAATCAAAGTTGTTGAATATGAAGGGCACATTCATAGTGCATTTTAGAAGCAACTCTTTGAGATTAATAATTCCATACAAAAGAAGTTTGTTCTACCTCTGACTCTCCTTTGTTCTATGGGGTAAATTTTAATTAAACTAAACCTCCTACCTACCCTTTCTTATTTCCCATTTGCTTAGTACTTTTATGATATTTATTATTTAAACTCTGATTATCTGTCCACTTCACCCACCTTTAGTATTATGTAACTTTTAGGATTTGACCTTATATCATGATTGATGGCGAGAGAATTCAAGTAAGTTCATTCCATACCACGTTGAAAACACTGGTTCTCGTCCGATCACCGAAGTTAAGCAACGCTGGGCCCGATTAGTACTTGCATGGGTGACCGGCTGGGAATACTGGGTGTTGCCAGTTTTTTGTGCGTCGGTGGCACAAAGGTAGAATGCTCGCCAACCACGCATGTGGTCCGGAGTTCGATCCCCGGCCACCGACGCACTCTTTTGCCTCTCTAAGCCAGTAATAAGACTGGTAAAGAGGGAAGGTTGGGCAACCCCATCCCGTGAAAATAATCACCACTGCTACCGAAACTTCAAGCCTCTAGCTTGAAGCCCCCCCCCCCAATATGTTCCACTGGGAACGTAAAGGAATAAAAAAAAGACTACAACGTGAGCTGAAGAGGTTTTCCCGAAGGTGGACAACAAAAGCTTCGCAATTAAATCAACCAGGTCAGAGAACACAACTAAATCAACATCACTTATGATGTTAGATACCCTAATAGTGCACAGTAGGAATACTCAGTTCAACTGAATATGAATTGAAGATGGTGAATAGGGGATGTATCATTAAGAGATACAGAATTTCTGCCCGCTACCTGTCAATCAATTCTCCAAATTGGAAACGCCGAACATCTTGAGCCTACAAGGCTGGAAAATCTCTGATTCCAAACCTATGGTCACCGGAACCCCCACGAGAATGTAACTCGTTCGCTGCTGACACTGCTCCCCAAGCTTGTAGATCAAACTTCAAGTCAGAGACTCGACTGTTGGCATGTGACCTCTTAAGACAACTAACTACCTGCTTCAGAGTCAAGGCGTTCGTGTAGTATTCCAGTCGTCGAACAAACTATGCAACAATTTTGTGTGGCGTATCTTTCCTAGCGCCAATACTGTACCAAGCGCGTGTTTCAAAAACAATTTATTGCTATAAGTATAAAACTTGGCCACTGTGATGGTAGAGTATAACTCCATTATGGATAAGATTTTATTTTGATGAATCACACTGTTGTTGTACAGTAATATTAACTGATGCGACCACGTTTTGAGCACAAATTATTGCCACTCATAATCATATCAAGGTACTCACACAACTTTCTGGCTTCATTTATATACATGAGTAAAAATTGATGATTAGACATCTGAATAAAATCAATATAGGATAATGTACATTCAGAAATAATAATATGAGCGTTATCAATCAAATACAATCAGATGGGAAATAAGACGAGTTTTTTTATAGTAAAAATAAGTAACTTTTTAAAATATTATAATTTATATGAATTGAATTGAAATAGAATTTTAAGATTATTTATTTTGCTCTTCTGATTTGACTGACTGGTGGTAATAATATTTTCCATGCATATCTCTGGTGTTTGCATTGAGTCATTTCTGTTGCATGTGACGGGTGTGGGGAGACTCGATGAACCAGGATTCAGTAATTAACCTCTCTCTCTCCCCACTTACCTATATTACTTTTTAGAATTTTGATTCTGTCCCACTCACCCTATTGTGTGGTTGTGTGTTAATGCATGCATTGCAATTGCTGAGCTTTTTTCTAAATTACTTATCTTCTCGGGGTTAACCATTCTTACCTTAGCTAAATTCTTATGTTCTGACAATCTGACTACCCCTGACCTACGAGTTTGACCTATGTAGTTGACCTCACAGTCATTGCAGGGTATTTTGTAAATTATTTTATTTTGTCTAATTGGGTCACCAGGGTTCTTTAACCTACAGAGCTTGTCCTACCTGAGTGAGTTTGTAGGTTCACCCTAATGCCATCCTAATTCCTGCTTTATTAAGAATCCTACGTGAGGTATCAGATGTCCCCTCCTCACTCAGAGACAATCTCTGTATGCTAAAGGACCCGGTGAACCCAATTAAACAAAATAATATAATTTACAAAACACCTTGCAATGACTGTGAGTGAGGTCAACTACATAGGTCAAAGTAGTGGATCAGAAGTAGTGAGATTATCAGAACATAAGAATTTAACTAAGGTAAGAATGGCTGACCCCACCCGAGAAGATAAGTAATTTAGAAAAAAAAACTCAGCAGTCGCACTGCCTGCATTAACACACAACCACACAATAGGATGGTGGCAGAAGGTTAAAATTCTAAGAAGTAATATAAATAGGTGGAGAGAGAGATTGATTACTGAATCCTTGACCACCTACACCCCACATGTGCAACAGAAATGACTTAACGCAAACATCGGAGTCATGGAAGATATTATTACCACCAGTCAGTCAAATCATAAGGTGGATAATAAATAATCTTAAAATTCTATTTCAATTCAATTCACAGACATTATAACATTGTAACAAGTTACTTATTTTGACGATAAAAACACTCGTCTTATTTCTCATCTGATTGTATTTGATTGATAACGCTCATATTATTATTTCTCAATGTACATTATCCTGTATTGATTTTTATACAAATAGAAAATCAAAACAAATGATTCAGCGAAGAGACTCTTTTCAACGAATTTATCATCAAGCTGTACAATCGTCTACATAAAGGGTTTTTAAGAAGTTATATCCGGTGAGGGAATTGAAACATAGGTGTGAATGCATGAAATAATAATAATATGAAGTGCAATTAAAACTAAAATGTTTGTGATTATAATCGTAGTTAAAGGTCAAGTGGCAAAGCAAATTAATGTCATATATAGAATAATTCATAGGATGGATAGAACTTGAAAAAGGTGTGCAAAAGAGTCTCTTCGCTGAATCATTTGTTTTGATTTTCTATATGTTACAATGGGAATTTTCCATGATTTTATACAAATGTCTAATCACCAATTTTTACTCATGTATATAAATGAAGCAAGAAAGTCATGTGAGTAGTGCCTTGATATGATTATGAGTGGCAATAATTTGTGCTCGAAACGTGGTCACATGAGTAAATATTACTGTACGACTACACACTGTAAGACTTTATCAAAATAAAATCTTATCCATAATGGAACAATTTATTGCTCCTAATCATATCAAGGCAAAAAAAACAACTACCAAACTTCGCCAATGTATGAATTATACTCTATATTACAGTGACAAAATTCTGTTCTTAAACTCATAATAAGTACACCAAAAAAAAGAAACTATGAAAATAGCACTTTTAGGTGAACAGGAATATGACAAATTTTAAAAAAACTAGAGTTACAGGATTTCATCATGAGCTCAACATCATGAGCTAACATCAGCGTTAGAGAACCATTGAAAAGCCTGTTTGGAATACTTGACTGCCAGCTGTTTCGTCAACCTAGTTCGGGACTCCTTCTGAGTACACACTCACCGCCAGGATTCGAACCCAAAACCTACCAGCTACGAGGCGAGCTCACAGACCAGTAAGCCACCAGGACACGATCCAACGGACCATAAATCCCAACTTCTGCCAGTTCACGATATATAGCGCGACTTGTAACAGGAAGGTCCTGGGTTTGAACCTTGGTAGTGGGTGCGTCCTCATGAGGAGTCCCTAATTAGGCTACCTGACTGCTCAGGACTCTATAGCTAGTTTTCCAATGGTTTTCTAAGCGATGTTGGCTCATGGTGAAGTCCTGTAACCAATCATACCAAATGGCTGAAAACTAAAACTTGATAATTACCGTTTCCACTATGCGAAAATTTGCAACTGTCACCATTATGACAATAGCCTCGAAGATAAAATTTACATGGTGGAGGAGACCTATGAAGATTCGAAAATTAGAAGATAAGATGAGGGGGGTGTCTAACTGTAATATGAAAACAAGAATAATAATAATAATAATAATAATAATAATAGCAACTGATCAAAAATGCCCATCAGAAATTTCAAAAGTTATATATGTCCAAACCAAGTTCATTTTTAACAGTTTGGAAAAATTTGGTCATTGGGTATATGATATTCATTATAATAAAGGGGTTTTTGTATTTCTCAATGAATGGAAAACAAAACGATATTGCTTTTACTGACGTTTCGCTATTTAATGCTAATAGCTTTATCAAAGTATTATTAAACCGGAATTTACAAAATCCACTCAGCTTATATATAACAAAGAGTTAAGAGGTGAGAAAATAGTTAAAAGGATTCTGGGAGATACACAGTTTATTCACTTCGGAAGGAGAATCAGACGTCTGCCTAGTTAAGGGGAGGGAAAACGGACATTTTAGTATATCCATATTCAGGAAGAAAATCCACTCCAATAAATATTTAGACTTCAAATCATCACACCCAATCAGCGCAAAGATTTTAGTTGTTTCAAGTCTTCTTAGACGAGCACACTCTCTGATAACGGATGAGAAAGAAAAAGAAGAAGAAATATCAAACATTACTGAAACTCTCAAGCAAAACAACTACCCAAGGGACTTCATCAACAAAATCAACACAGACATTAAGTATGGCCGAAAACGCATTCCGAAAACATGGACCTCGACAGTCGTCATTCCATATAGAGCAGAGACGTCAGATGATATCAGAAGAGTACTCAATCAGAGTTTTCTTTAAAACAACAGACACACTACGAAACAACCTTGTCCATATAAAAGACCAGATCCCTAAAGATTCTCTATCTAATTGTGTCTATAAAATAAAATGCTTGCTTGGAATGTGATGCGATATACATCCGACAAACATCGCCAGAGAGAAATCAAGGTAGTCAGAATAAATGAACACCTTAGAGCACCTGTTCGGTCAACGAGATATCCAGTTGAACTAGAAAAGCTTGAAAAATCATCAGCCATAGGTCTACATGCTATAGAATCAGGTCACAAAATTGATTTTGACAATATTGAAATAATCCAGAAAAAGCATTTCAGAAATCACAAAGAACGTCTAATATCAGAAGCACTTCATATCAAGTGGAATCCAAATTGCCTGAATAGGAATGATGGACTAAAACAGAATCTGACCTGGTTACAACACCTCCCTCTTCTATGAAGTGACAAAATCAACACGAATGTGATAAGCAAGTTCACTATGTAAACACACACTCCTTTTATAATTTTACACAATGATCAAATCCAACAATCTTTACCAATTGACCAACTTGACAACGAAAAATGACCCCAGACTAACGAACGATGATGAAGTTAGTTAACTTTATTTTGATACCATAACAGATGTACTATTACCTTTGTTATTTGGTTTAGTGATCTTCATTGGTATTTTAACTTTCAATACGTCCTTTTAACTTGACCTATGTCTTACGAGTTGATCACGGACTGATATCAGTTAGAGAACCATTGAAAACCTATGTCTATTTTCTCACCCCTTAACTCTTTGTTATATATATGCTGAGATTTTGTAAATTCCGGTTTAATAATACTTTGATAAAGCTATTAGCAATAGCATCAAATAGCGGAACGTCAGTAAAAACAATATCTTTTTGTTTTTCATTCATTGGGAAATACAAAAACCTTTATTATAATGAAGAAATTTGAAAAGATTGATTACGGAACAAAGATTATTCTTTTCAACAAGTTCTTCAGGTTCTCCAGCTATGTGTACCCATAATAATGAAAGAATTAGGGTAATTAGCAACATTAATGTTTAAATGACATCGAGTTAGTCAATAATATGAATAGATGGCGAAGTTAATCAATAGCGTCCCAAGGGTGCGAATGCTCCAATGACCTTGAATGCATGCTAGTTGTTGGCTAACGACACCTGTCGTTATCATAGCACAAATATGAACACCATTCACCAACTAAAGAGCAAATTTCATCCAAATCACATTTTTAAATACTGTTTAGACAATGTGTTAATAACCCGTAAGAGTAAGGATCAAGGTTATAATTAGGATTAGGATTACGATTAAGAATAGAGTTAGAATTGATATTATTTATTTTAATTTGTTTTATTATCCACATTTTCCTGGTGAGTAGTTGTCGGTCCTCTTACTGGAAACTATAGTTCATACAAAATAAATTGTATGAACTGTAACAGGCATTACATCGGCCAAAGTGGGCGTCCTCTTCGAATTAGAATCCAAGAACACAAATCAGCCATGAAAAGACACGATATATATTCTTTAGTATCAATGCATATAGACAATTATGGTCATCAATTTGATTGGGATAATGTCGAAATCTTTGTGCGTCGGTGGCCTAGCGGTTAGGACGCTCGCCGACCATGCGCATGGTCCGGGGTTCGATCCCCGGCCGCCAACGCACTCCTTTACCTCGCTAAGCCAGAAATAATGCTGGCAAAGAGGAAAGGTTGGGCATGAGGCTAGCAACCCCATCCTGTAAAATAAACACTGCTACAGAAACTTCAAGCCACTAGCTTGAAGCCCTATGTTCCACTGGGGAACGTGAAGGAAAAATAATAATAATAATAATAATGTCGAAATCTTAGACAGAGGAAACACCAAAAGTGCAGTCAGGGAATTCCTAGAAGCCTGGTACTCAAACGAAAATGCAATTAACAAACACGTTAATATAGACGAAGTATACCAACTAATAAAAAGTAAATCACATGTGACCAGAAAGTTTAAAATCCAAGTCAATAGAAAATGGTCAATACATATGTAAAGATGGTTACCGGGAGACGCAATTCTATCATTCATAAAGAAATTTAAATCATTTCACTTTATGCTAAATATTGCGCTGAAAGGGGATGTTGTCCAGAAGTGGGGACGACGAAAGCTCCGCAACTAAACCATCAACCAGCTCAGAGAACACTATTAATTGCAACTATAGTAATTCAAGCGGGGGTTTTGGGGGAAGATTGCAAAACAAGATAAGAGCGATAAACGGGTCACCAAAAAGGTCACCTTAAGTCACCTCGGTGAATACATATACAGAAACTAGTCTAACTTCAAGGCTGATACTCCTCATTATGACTGGGATGTATTTTTAAGTCATGTCAGCTAAAGGTACCCAGTTTAATGTGTTTTCATGCATTTTCTTGTATATAAACGTAATATTTTGTGCAAAAATCACTCATTTTTATGGTTGGTCTGCTCAAAGTCACTCGTGGGTTCGCATCCCTTGGGAAGCTATTGTTTACCTTGGCCAAATCGATTACAGTTTAATAGCATCTGTAAACGTGATAATATGCGTCAATATAACACTAGATTGAATGAATGTCAGACAAATTAGGAAAAATAATAATTTTCTATAGTTGGTTTGTAAGGATTAGTTTTGTTTTTGCGAGATGATCACGGATTGTCTGTCTGTCTCTTTTCGACATAGAACTTTGCACATATGTGCGGCAGTTCAAGTCCCCACACTCCCTCCATGTAGCACACAAAGCAACAGAAGACAGTAGGAGAAATGCATATTAGAGACAGTAAACAGAGGTGTGAGACAAAGGAATAGTGATAACGAAGAACAAAACAGTTTCATTGGAAATCATGAGTCACAAGGAGTGGATGCATCTGCGCTGTGCTTTGAGAACGAGGATTTTGAGCCATGTCACCAATTGTTTCCAACCATTGGTTTTTACCATCCTGAGGACCCCAACCAGTCAGGAAGTCTACACCTTCCTACGTGGCTTAGACTAACTGTTGTAGATTTCATTGTCTGGTGCCATGTTTTGGTTTGACCGCCGCTAGCTCTTTTCCAACCTGACCGTGTATCAGCTAACATTGCCCGTTGTCGAGGAAGGCGATGACTAGGCATGCATGCGTGACACATGTCCTAGCCATCTCAGTCAATGTAATTTCACAGTCTCGTCGACTGATTTCCCCTCCTTACCTAGCACTCGACGCCTAACCTCAATATTGCTCACCTTATTATACAACTTCACGGATTTATATCACTTAGAGAACCATTGAAAACCCACAGGGAGTACTGGACAGCCGGCTGTTTCATCCTAGTTTTAGAATCATCGGCAGTACGCACCCACTTGGGTTCGAACCCAGGACCTTCCGGTTACAAAGGTTGCGCTAAATCACGAATTGGTAGAAGTTAGAATTCATGGAATGGCTATTGAATCGGATCCCAGTGGCTGAATGGTATACGAGCTTGCCTTGTAACAGGAAGGCCCTGGGTTCGAACCCTGGCGGTGGGTGCGTAATGCCGATGATTCCCAAACTAGGATGAAACACCTGGCAGTCCAGTACTCCCTGTGGGTTTTCAATGGTTCTCTAACTGATATCAATCCATGATCAACTCATAAAAGTAATAATACAGAATTCATGAATTTCTAGGCTCCACTGAAGGCCATGGCAGTAATAGTGGTTGGCTGGGCCTGTTTATTTTGTACACAGAGAGCAGAGGTTGTTTTAGGCGAATCGTAATAGCCTCTGCTGTTTGAAGTAATCGGTTGGTACATGGATGCTTTCGGCAATTTACTTGGTGTCTGACAGATGATGGAGAAGGATGCTTCAATGAGAGCTTTGTAGCCGGTTCGGACCAGGTGGTCTAATATCAAACTGCCGAAGATGGTTTTCACTATACCGTTATTTATTTATATTTTTGATTTTGATTTACAGCTTGATTCCACACCGTATTTTCAGTACAAGTGTGGAATTTTCAGCATGGATACCGGTAGCCCAAATTTTGCAGGCCGACCATAGATATCGGGTGTGCGCCGGCAGGGGATCGAACCCCGGACCATATGCATGGTCGGCGGGAGTCCTAACCACTGTGCCACCGACGCACACACACACTGCTAGGTATTGCCGACCACGAGAAGTCAAGTTCCTACAACAACGGTCAATATAAAAATTCGCTCCACAACCCCATTTGAATTGGCCAGTTTAGGTACTTCATCTTTCAATTGAGGAATCACAACTGGTCGTATTGAAAATATGACTTGTAGTTTACCAGCATCAAAAGTTCTTTGAATAGACTTTATTAACTTTTTGGTAATTATTTCACTCGGCACATCACCCTTGAATTGCATTCGTATGTATAAAGGCTTCTTATTTACTGACAGAGAATAGTCCTTTTCTACTTTTTTTGGTCATGTGTTTCTTGATGAACTTTTCTGGATAGCTATTTTCAGTTAAGGTGTCATACGTAATCAACGCTAAGTTCATCTTTAATTACGTCTTCTAAACATATAGTAATAAAATAATTTACCTCTTATATATATGTCTACAGACCAGATGATACAGTCCTTCTAGGTGAAGACGCTAACAAAATGCAGAGTCTTCTGAACACCATGAATTGCAATCTACTAATGTGTGGCATGCGATTCGCTCTCGCCAAATGTAAGATGATGCTACAGGACTAGACTGGGCTACATTGACTCCTAGCTTAGAAATAAGGAGTGAAGTGGTAGAGCGTGTTGACCACTTACTTCACTTATTTGGGAGGTTGCATCAGCCAGCGTCAACGGGTTAATCGCTGACGAAATCTCAGAACGGATGCAGAAGGCTAGTTACTCATATGACTGCCAGTTTACGTCGTCTCTGGCGTAGACGTAATATCCGGCTGGCTGTCGACCAATGGGTTGTGTACTGCTCAGCAGTCCGCTCCGTCCTCCTTTACGGCTGTGAGACATGGCCACTGATAGTGGGAGACATGAAAAGTCAGGCTAGTTGTCTTTGATCATAGGTACCTGGGTTCTATCTCCCGTGTGAAGTGGTATAATAGGGTTAGCAATATTGAGGTTAGGCGTCGGTCGAGTGCTAGGTAGGTGGAAGGGGAAATCAATCAACGAGGCTGTGCACTTACATGGACTGAGATGGTTAGGACATGTGTTACGCATGCATGGTTAGCCATCGCCTTCCTTAACAGTGGGCAATGTTAGCTGACGTAGAGTCAGATTGGAACAGAGAAAGCTAGTGGTGGTAAAACCAAAACATGGCTTCATCAGTCAATGAAATCTACAACAGTTAGTTTAAGGTAGCCACTTAGGGAGGTGTAGACTTCTTGGTTGGGGTTCTCGGGATTTTAAGCACCAATGGCTGGAGACAATTGGTGATATAGCTCAAAATCTCTCTCAATGGCTGTCGCAGATGCATCCACTCCTTCTGACTTATAATACCAAATAAAACTATATTGTTCTTCGATATTACTATTCTTTTTGCCTCGTATCTCTGTTTACTGTTTCTATTTTGCGTTTCTTTTTACTTTCTTCTCTTGCTTTGTGTGCTACATGGAAGGAGTGTGGCGACTCGAACTGGTGCACATCTATGCAAAGTCCTATGCTGAAGCCAATCAGTCAGTCAGTCAGTTAAAAGACCAACAAGTCACTCTGTAGTGATCACCTCGTCTAAACGGGCCCGAAAACTGATAGCAATGAAGAATCTTTTTCTATCATATATACAACAAGAAATAAATTGTCTAAAGCCTCTAGGTAATAAAATACTCCAAATAACAGAGAGACTATTGGCAGTTCACTTTGAGCAACTGGATGTCTGAGTACAAAAATAACCAGTTCAGTCAATATTGTTATCCTGGTACATATTCAGTTTAGTGTTATACTGTTGTATACTAACACATAAACCCATATTTCTTGAACTGTAATCCGTTGATCCCAACTTATTATTACTACTACAGTTATTGTTTCCTTGGGTTCCAAGTGGAACCTAGGGCTGAAAACAGCACATCTCCACTTTGTCCTGTCTGTCTGTTTTCGACATAGAACTTTGCACATATGTGCGGCAGTTCAAGTCGCCACACTCCCTCTTTGTAGCACACAAAGCAAGAGAAGAAAGTAGAAGAAATGCATAGTATAGACAGTAAACAGAGGTGTGAGACAAAGGAATAGTAATAACGAAGAACAATATAGTTTCATTGGAAATTATAAGTCACAAGGAGTGGATGCATCTGCGCTGTGCTTTGAGAACGAGGATTTTGAGCCATGTCACCAGTTGTTTCCAACCATTGGTTTTTACCGTCCCGAGGACTCCAACCAGTCAGGAAGTCTACACCTTCCTACGTGGCCAAGACTAACTGTTGTAGATTTCATTGACTGGTGCCATGTTTTGCTTTGACCACCACTAACTAGCGCTTTTCCAGCCTGACCCTATATCGGCTAACATTGCCCACTGTCGAGGAAGGCGATGACTAGTCATGCATGCGTAACACATGTCTTAGCCATCTCAGTCGATGTAATTTCACAGCCTTGTCGAATGACTTCCCCTTCTTACCAACTAGCACTCGACGCCTAACCTCAATATTGCTCACCCTATCATACCACTTAACACGGGAGATAGAATGCAGACACCTATGGTCAAAGACAGCGAATCTTTTCATGTCTTCCACTCTCAATGACCAGCCTCTCACAGCCATAAAGGAGGACGGAGCGGACTGCTGAGCAGTAGACACGCCCTTTGGTCGATAGCCAGCCGGATATCACGTCTACGGCAGAGACGGCGTGATCTGGCATATGCGAAACTAGCCCTCTGTATCCGTTCTGAGATTTCGTCAGCGATCAACCCTTTGGCGCTGGCTGATGCAACTTCCCAAGTAAGTAAAGGAGTTAACGTGCTCTACCATTTCACTTCCTATTTCTAGTCTAGTAGTCGGTGTAGTCCAATCCTGTAACATCATCTTACATTTGGCAGGAGCGAATCGCATGCTAAACATTCGTAGATTGCAGCTCATGGTGTTCAGAAGACTCTGTATTTTGTCAGCGTCCTCGCCTAGAAGGACTATATCGTCCTACTTTCTGAAGTCCTCTCTGGCTGGCCCAAAGATTGCCCATAGTCCCTCATCTCCTCCTTGCACGATCTCTTCTATGTCACAATAAAACCCAACTCGTCGTTTCCCATTTCTAGTTCCATTCGAGCGATAGCCTGGGGTGTGTTGGCATTCGACAGTCTCCTCAGTGTGAGTTCGATCCATCCATCTCCATTTTCTTCAACATATTTGTCGAGCGACCAGTTCTTGGTTGGGGTTGTACCTAGCGTTCCCGATCGTGGCTTTGACACTTTCATCGGTTCCACTTGTAGTTCACACGATACCATCTAGATAAGTGAAGCAAGTGACACTGTCCAGGAAGTCTACACCTCCCTACATGGCTGACTCAAATCAAAAGTCAAAAATTTAATGGATTGATAGTAGGTTTTGGTTTTACCACCACCCCTAACTTCTTTCCAACACAATCGTATGCCGGCTAACATTGCTCAATGTGGAAAACGTGACCTAACCATCCCAATCGATGCAGCCTCACAACCCCATCGACTGACATTCCCTCTGATTATTATTAAACTCAAGAAGCCTTTTTTTCCTGCTGAGTTAGACAAACCTTTAAAAAAAAGATTATAGGTGAAAAACAAGCAAATCTACTTACTTTTGACTTTGAACCGGCAACCTGTCATCCGGTTGACAATGAAGATTTATGCATCTGTCACCATAGACACAACGATTTTTTAAGTAGAAAGGACAGATCTGTCTCTCCTGGTTGAAAACAAAAGTGAACAGATATCTCTATAGAAGAATTTATATCAATGAATAAGGGCAAAGTTAAACTTTAGGCACCACTAATCAGCGAATGACCTCGAACGCATCAATCACTTGAAGGAGGCATTTTTGTGTATGGAATACATATATTTATGAAAAAAGCATGTATAAAAACCGTATAAAAGTGTAACAGAGGATACCTTTCTCTCACATGTGATAAAAATAGCTCTCAGTTCTAGGTTGGAGTATCAACAGAGTATAATTCCATTGTGGGTAAAATTTGTTTTGATAAAGTTTCATGGTTTTATACAGTAATATTTACTGAGCAATAAATTGTGCTCGAAACTTCACCTGTAAATATTACTGTATAATTTTAACTTGAAATGGAAGTTAGGAGGTGTGAATATAGATTACGGGAGCCTTAGGAACATCAAAAATTGCACAGGATTAAGATATAACTGTAAAATAGTTATTTTAAACGAATTATAAATGTGAGCTGGAAAAGCATGGAAACAAACTTAAAAAGAGATGATGGAACCCTGAAGAGGTCCTTCCACAGAAAACCGACATGGAACGGCCGATTAAAGCATTTCTATAGTTGGATACCTTTGAGCCGAAAACGAGCTTTCATCATCGCACTAACCCTTCCTGGCTCAAAATGGTTGCCCGACACGTTTTGTAGAAAAGAACATGAAACCTAAACCAAAAAGAGAACAATGCGATTCAGCACTGTATCTGAATCTGAATTTCAGGGGAGACTCGACAGCCGACATCCTAAAGAGGAGAATATCCAGCTCTTTAAAGACCTTCCCTGCAGCAACACTAAGAGTGACATTCTGTAGCCGTCCAGTACTTCGAAACAACACAAAGGACAAATTCTCGCATACGACCAATTCAATGTGCATATACCAGTTCACCTGCTCGTGCGAAGCTAGGTACATAGGTCATTGGCTGCAAAGAGGAGGCACCGGTCCAATCAGAAGTGCCATTATTGAACATCTGATCAACACCTTCCCCCCACAACATCTCAACTGATTCTTTCAAAGTAATTTACAAAGTCAACAGAAACCTACCAAAAGCAGGTTTCCGACTTCTCTGTACTGCAGAAACCCTCGCAATATGCATCGATAAGCCAGAGCTGTGTGTTCAGAAGAAATTAGTCCAACCTCTACAACTACCATGGACCGAGTTCGGTGTGTTCCCTTAGCTCCCAATTTTTTAAAATCTCTTTTCGTTTGCTGTGTTTGTAATTCTTACTCCTTCTGTCTTCATTCGCTTCACCCTATTTTTTCAGTTATAAAAACAGTTATTTTAAGTCTGTTTTCATGCTTTTCCCGCTCACATTTATAATTCGTTTAAAATAACTATTTTACAATTATATCTTAATCCTGTGCAATTTTTGTGTTTCTAAGGCTCCCGTAATCTATATTCACACCTCCTAACTTCCATTTCAAGTTAAAATTACTGTAAAACTCTGTGAGACTTTATCAAAATAAATTTCACTCGCAATGGAATTATACTCTACCACAGTGCATAAGTTATGTTCTTATATGAACAGAGTAATTTAACCACATTCTATGCATATAATTATTTAGGTCGTCTAACCGTAACAGTAATCCTAATCTTTCCTAAACCTAACCGTAACATGAAAATATCACTGAACTAACTTTCAACTAACTCCAACCAAACCTACTGTCGCCTTTGTCATGTTAACCTTACCCTACATTTTTCTTGGCTTAATCTTTCCCAAACCCTAAGCTGAAACTTGCCAGATATCCCATTTAATAACATAACACTTCGATTAGCATATTTTATTGATGATGACAACATTGTCTGTAAGATTTCACTAACTTGCTCAGTGAGCGTTTCAAGGTCACATTGGTGCGTTCGCACTCCACTGGTAGTTAATGGTGCCTAAAGTTTAACTTGGCCATGAACACATATATATTCTTAGCAAATTTGTAGAAAATCACTGAATTTTTAGACGCTCGGCTAATGGCTTTTCATTCACATTCCACTTGAAGCTTTGGCGTGTGATGTCACTCACTGATATCTTCAAAATATCTTTAATCCATCTCCATATCATCGGTGAATGTTAAGATCTGATACTACTATTACGCACAAAGATGAAACTGCACTTATGAACAAGAAACATCGCTTAGAAAAGCAAAAGGAGAAATAGATTCTTGATATGTTTGACGGTAAAAACAAGAAGGCTGCCTAATCATTAATAACACATCTGTAGCTATTCTATGACCTGAAAGCCTGCAGTACTTAAGCACAGAAGCTACAGTTTACACTAAAGAAAAAGAGTGGTGCCGAACCCAATTTTATCACTAAACTGTATGTGGAAGACGCCAATTTCCTAATTTTGGTAATGTTGAATTTTCATGTTTGAGACACTGAGACGAACATCTTTGCCTATGCATTAACCATTGCACATAGATATAACACTACGTGGTAAATGAGAGTGTGTAGTCTCCTATGTACACGCAACAAGTGACTTAATCCACTCTAGCAATATGATTACAGGGATATTATGTCCTAAAATGTGCGTGAATTCTGTATTTTGAGCAAACTATTACTAAAAGTAGTGCTTGGTTTTAGATGAACCTACCATATTACATGAACAGATAAACAAAAAAGTGCCAAATCATTTGTACATAGTTAGACGGGGAACAACAACACGCTAATAAGCTAATCAGCACAAGTAAACTCTAAACCAGTAAACACATTACACTAGGTACTGACTAGTGTCCAATCAAAAATATCCAATACAGTCCTAGAGGAGGAGGTCAATCGCGAACCTGAATAGCTCAGGAGTAGCGTCTCTGACTTCAGCACTGGATGATGCCGGTTTGAATCTCAGAAGGGATATGAGTCCCTTAAACGTGGTTGCAGATACACCTTGCTGACCGGTGAGTGTCAACTAGCACGAAACCTAGGTAGAGCCAAGGCTTCCTATGGCTGATTACATCCAACAGTCTAATACCAACAATTTACAGTGTACCGTGATGACGAGCCGCCACTTATTGGGATGGTGGCCACGTTGCAAACTTGACTGATAGAATTCAGTCTGCACGAAGCAAAGGACTAGATACATTAAAATAGTTACTGACTGGTATCCAATCAAAACTCTAGGAGTAACAGAAGACAACATATAGCTTGGAAATAGGAATGTATTATAACAAAAGGGGATGTACAAAGAACAAAGTTCGAAAAATGAAAATAACAGTTCATTTTCCCGTCATTTGTAGTAAGTTCATTTACGGAATACGATAACTAAGCCATAACATTTACATATCTGGTATCTAAAGATTAAAACCAAGCAAGTACAGTAAATTAACAATCAATATTTTGTATACGTAATGGTTTCAGTAACGTCGCGATACGCGTAATCTAATATGCTAGTCATTCATCTGCTGGAACTGCACTTTTGTTGACTACCTGTAGAATAATTGAAGTTGGTTGGATTAAAAAGTGAGATAACATTTTCTGGTCGTAGTGAACTTCCTGAGCACTCTATGGCGAAGGTGACGGACAATATTTATAGAAGACCTCTCTAGGATTACGCTGAAGGGAAGTGAGTTTATTACATTGCTTAAGTGGAGCGGTCATCTGGTGAAACCAAAAGTGGTCCCCTAAGGTATAGGCATGTTCACGGCGAGCCAGTTATAGAGTCACAAGAATATCATGTGCACCCTACATTCCACTAGTGGAGCGAAGGTGTTTCAATGACAAGTGATAGAATTAACTTGTGAACAAATGTCAAATAAGCTGATGAAAATCTCACCGATAAGTGAACGCATGCTCTAGACGGAAGTAGGCATTTTGAGAAAAACCCACTCCAACAACTAGATAACATATAACTAACGAGGGAAGAAATAACTTTGTCATTAAAGTACTATAGGCCTACGTGTGTCTTTTATGTGCCAAGCGAGTTAACGTCGAAATTTGTCACACCGTCACGAAATTTGCTTATGGTTAGAGTGTTGAGCGACTGGGGAGCTGAATCGTGCTAACATTGTTGATGAAAGCTCTTACTACGGTACATGACGGGCTAAATTGGAGGCACGTTAGAAATAAGTAGTGTAAATATTGCCAAAATGATATAAGATAGCCAAACAGTGTTTTACGACTATTAGCTAATAATACCTACCTAAGTATCTAAGTAAGCTATAGTGCATGTGTAACAAATTTCGACAAAATAGGCGGAAAAATGTGAGGTTGATGATTAGAAATAAGTTTTGGATAGATTATGGATAAATAAAGTCAGGCAAGCGGGAGATTATGGTTACGGCTCTGTAGACATTTTGACGTTGTTAGTCGTTCTGAGGTCGTTACTGACACTGTCTCCCCTGATGTATATTCTTTGACTTCGCCAACTCTTCAATGGAGGTTCGGTGACTTCATTAAGGTTAGGTATCACCTGTAAGATTCCCAAAAGACGAGGGCAGCCTGTCGACGGCCGTAATTTTGAGTGCCCGCGAGTGAGATAAACAAGTGATTTCCTCGCTTGTGATTGGTCTGTTTGATAACACCTAACAAGTATTTGTAGCGGTATTTGCAAATATTGTTTGCTCTCTTTTTCTATTGCTACTTTTTAAGGTGATATCAACTGTTATTTGGAATAACTGTGAATGCATATAGTCATGGTAGAGGAGATTATTGAAGTATCAGTTGATTTGTCCACAGAATTCAATGAATTAGTTCGCTACCAAAGTCTAAGGACTTGGAAGGAGTGCGAAGAATGCATACATCGTTTTCAAGAGGTGATGTGTTGTCGTAATGTGGCTTATCATTATTAATAATTGTAGCGAACCGGCAGCTTATATAAAATACGTGACTGCCGGATTCGTCGTGATGAAAATAACGAGGTTGATCCCGATTATAAGTACTTATATGTTGCATTTTCATGTCACGTAGGTCGATGTCGACGATCAGAAAGCAGACATCGAAGGATATCACAGTGAGTAATGTGAAGTACTTTATCTTCATATTTAAGATCTAAGTACATAGGGTGTCAATCCAGTTTCAGATTTAAGCTTGAATTCGGATATTATAAAGTGGTCGAACCTGTCAATACTACACACAACCATGCATTATCAAGAGAACTGTTGTTGTCTGTTGAACCGCAAGTTCGAAGACTCAGTTTTGAAGAAAGATCGAAAATAATACCTCTTGTAGAAAGAAACGCCCCCCCAGCACAAGTTATTAATATGGTTGATGTTGAGTTTGGTAAGCTGATGACTTACGATGATTATCGGAATTTCCGTGAACTAGTCTACCCTAGTGAGTTGTCATATTACGTTAAAAGTTTGTATAGGAATGCGAGATATAGACTCACTGATCCGTGAAATTCGTGACTCAGGTTCAGTGTGGTGCGTGATGGACAGTAGACGACGTGTGGAAAAGTTTAGTTTCGCAACCAGGGAAATGATATGTTTGTATAAGAAATTTCCAGAGGTTGTGGGTATGGATTCAACCTATAATACGAATAAGGAAGGGTAAGATTTTAATGGGAAAGCAATCTCTTGCAGCCATCCTCTATATCAACTGGTCGTTACAGATGGTCTCAACAGAAGTTGTCCAGTGATGTACAGTACAACTCATCGTGAAAGACTTGTTGACGTTGAAGCAGTATTACAGTCATTTAAGAATATCATGGGTGATACATCACGGACTGTAACCTTTGTAATTGACAACAGTGCAGCAGAACAACGTGCAATTCGTAATGAGTTCCCAGCCTGCTCAATTATATTATGTGCATTCCATGTCATCCGTGCCTTCAATAACAAAGTAAGCGGCGTTACTAATTACCTAACGTCCTTAAGTTCCGTGATCCTCAGTGTAAAAGCCTATTTAAAGAGATGGTGTACACAACGAATAACGACAGGTAATTACGTGATTGTGTTAACACTTCCTTAGGTTTAGTGACTTGATGAATTTAATGAGAGTGCATTACCCTGCAGCAATGTCTTACATAAATAACAACTTATGGAGTTGTCGCAATATGTGGGCAGCATGTTATATGAAAGATGTTGTCACTCTTGGCAACAAAACCAATAACAGAGTCGAGTGCTGCCATAAGCACCTGAAAACGCATCTCAGCAAGTGCTTCCCATTGGAATTGAGCATTCGTGAGATTTGGAAGTGTTCCATAGAGTCATCCAGAAGAAAGGCCAGTGAAGGAAATCGCAACCTGCATTACTACATTAATTTTGACGTAGGTCCTACACTTGTAACCGTAAATTTTTTTAGGTGGACGAAGGCCTTTCTAACATTCTGAGGCAACTGACAAGCTACGCCGCCTATGCACTTTATAAAAGCATTAGGAGGCATCCGGAAATGAAAGTCACGGATTGCACGGAAGCATACGTCGTATTTGAAGAAGGTGAAAGATACTTCGTTGTAGACAAATATGATTGCAGCTGCACATGTTTTCAACATAGAAATATGCTGTTACCATGCCGTCATCTAGTTCATACCAAATGTCACATATACAGACGTCTGGGTAAGTTCATATAAGCGTCAAATTATTTTGTAAAAGATGTATTCAGACATAGTACAAGGTGGCTACGAGATTACAATCACACTGTCATCCAATCACAGTCAACACAAGCGGTGGACTCGGACGTGGAGATACTTATACAAGGAATAATATATCAAATCAGACACCTGCAACAGACGCATCCTAGGATATGTAGGAGTGTGTTTCTTTACGTACACAATTATCTGATTGAAGCTGCTGCACAGGTGCATGATCAGTCATCTACATCGTCATGCTCGGAATGATAAATGTACATTTTTTAAAGATAAACGTAAATAAATTTTCCTATAACGACTCTTGTTGATTCTAACTTACGTAAATTGTTGTTGAAACGGTTAGGCGAATAGATTTTTACGCAGTACATTTCGTATCGGTGAACCCTAGGCATTCTTTTTCTATTATTACAATAACCACATTTGCACTTAGTTATACATATAGGTTCCTAGTAAGACGACATATAACTGCAATCGCTGATTATCTCAATGTTCTCTGTTATAAATGGGCGCAATTGTTTCATTACGGTACGACAGACTCTTTTTATCAATAAGCCTCTCCGAATATCTAATTTTACATATCATTTCTATGATCACGTCACATACTCCGTACCCCACAACTTACGCAAAAGTTACAAATCAGCCTTATCAAGTAGAATATACAAACGAATAACAAGGAATACGTTTATTAATGAATAAATATGTTATACAAAATGTACAACACTGAAGACATCTTCTTCTTTATCACTCAAATCCATGCATTTTCCCCAAAGTACATATTATCTGAAAAAGAACATAAGAATTCTAAAGATGTAGACATTGTTACCACTGTAAATGCAAGAATAAAATACTTAACACGTTTAAAATAACAAAATAATTACTTAAATTGTATATAATTACGTCAGTCAACATTTTTCAACAAGAAAAAGATGTATATTACATCTGCCTGTAAACATCAAGTATATGCCATAGAATAAGGAAATAGTATGCGTATATAATTTCTAAGTATTTCTATAGATTTCCTTTAATGAAATACATGTACAGCAGCTTTGACAGCATTAGCAAAAGTGCACAACTAAGTATACCAAATAATCAACAAAACCAACTATCCCACCTCATCATGTCCATGTATAATCGTTTAAACTGCAAAAAAAACTCACTAAAAGTCGTTATAATATGTCTATTCAAGTAATTCGACATTTTCCGAACGGATAAGTACGTAATTCAACAATTTGTAAATTGGCCGTAAATTACGGCCGGATAAGGACACCATCATTTCTTGTTTGTGCTGAAAACGCCTTATTACATCAACTTTTAGTAGCAAAATAGGTGTAAAAGTGTGTAAAACAACCAAAAATTACCTATTTTCGAAGTTTTTTCATTAAATAAAGCCGCTAGACATCAGCTGATCAAATGACCTACGGCCGTCTACAGGCTGCCAAAGACGAGCAATCGTCACATTTGATTTACCTCCTTTAACATACCTCCACCTTCATTGGTTTTTCAAGGCCATCTCATGACCTTCGGTTTTCCTTGACATAAGCCGAAGGTCAAAGTAACAGTCACGTTGAATCAGGACGCAATATGTTAGCACACTGGAATATTTCCCTACGTTAGAAATAGCATTACTCGAAGAAGTGTACTTAGCAGAATAAGGATATACTATAGCGACCATCAAATTCACATTTCTCAAATTAGTTCCAATATATCCAATATCCAATATCGTTTTTACGAGCTAGTATAAACCAATTTGATTTCTTTGCGCTCGCCTCTTGATTGTGAGGTAGAGGTTCCTGATCTTTGGTAAACGTCTGTGTAGCTCGTCCCGCCACTCGACTGTCGTAGCTTTGGTTGACTCCAACAGGAGTAGTGCTGGGATTAATTATATGGCGTCTGTAGTATGAAGTGTGTTAAGACTGTTACTACTGTGAATGGAGTTGATCCTTTCACCAGTTAGTCTTTCGGTATCGTCGTCAATGGAAAAGAGATAATAATAATAGATATAATTAGTAAAGGTATTCAGACTAACAGACAGGGAAAAAAAAATAAGAAAACGTAACAACAGTCAGTCAACCGGTGTACATATATATATATATATACCAGTAATAATGATAGTAATAATAATAAGTGTAGTTAAAGCTGTCAGGAGAGTAAGACTGAAGGGAATGTGAAGAAGTAAAACGACCAGTTTAATTGTCTACCTTTGAATGGTATATGCGATTTTAAGGGGATAGGCCATTTGGATACAGTCCTTGTGTCGCTGCAAGGTTGTCCAGCCTTCGCTTAAAGGCGTCCACAGATGGTGCCATAGCTACATCTGCCGGTAAGGAATTCCAGGGACGGCAAACCCGCAGGGAAAAGAAGTGGGAGCGCACCCGGGTCCTTGCCCTCTGATGAGCTATCCTTCTAGGATTTCCACGAGGGAGCCTATACCTACTCAATGGCAGAACACCTTTGTTTGGGTGATTCTGATCATTTGTTATTTTGTAGGCAGTAATTAAATCCCCCCTCAGGCGACGGTAACTGAGTGTGAATAGGCCTAATTTCTTCAGCCTTTCGTCATATGGTTTATTTCGGAGACCGACCACTCCTTTTGTTGCCCATCGTTGGGCTCTTTCCAAGAGGTTGGCGTCTCTTTTAAGCAGTGGGGTGCAATGATATTATGCACTTCAAGATGCGGTCTGACGTATGTTTTATACAACCTTAGAAAGAGCTCAGGAGTGAGTGCACCTAATTGTCTATGTGTAAAGTGTATGCGTCGGTGGCACAGTGGTTAGGACTCTCGCCAACCATGCACATGGTCCGGGGTTCGATACCCTGCCGGCGCACACCCGATATCTATGGTCGGCCTGAATTTGGGCTACCGATATCCATGCTGAAAATTCCATACTTGTACTGAAAATACGGTGTGGAATCAAGCTGTAAATCAAAATAAATAATAATAATAATAATAATAATAATAATAATAGTATATTCTCATTTTTCTTTACATGAGGGACGCCAGTTTACAGGCATCATCAATTCGATAAATTACACATACGATTAGTAAGTATAGTTAGTAATGATAATATAATAAGGTACATATTTAATCATTCAAATATAGGACACACAATTTGTATAGGAATGGATAAGTATTATTTAAGTTACATATTTAAATTACATGATTTACGGCTAGATAACATGGTTGTTGTCATTTTATCTTTAGATTGTGGGGAAAATCAGATAACTGGTGATTCAATGGAACACACCAAAAAAATATAGAGATATTGACTTCGCATTAACAAAAAAAACCCAAGTATGCGTTGGATGGATTACATATACTTGGGAAAATAAATAAAGCTTGAAGTCAATTCCCTCATATAACAATAAAATGCGTCTTACAATAATATATTCCCACTTTATGCACTTGAGGGACTCCAGTTGACAGGCATCATCGATATCATAATAGTGCACACATGAAGTAAAAATGTTTAAAAATTTTCACTAACACAAAATATATATACAAGGGAAGATAATGAAATATTGACCGTAAGTACACTCTGCATAAGTTAAAACAGTTTATATGGCATAATCCTAGGCACAATTATTGTTTGAATTTGTTGAACATGAGCGAAACAACTGAGTGTTGCGTTACATTCGGTCGATATGGTGGGCTAGTCACAAAAGTATAAATTTGACTTATAAAACGTTACTCAGTTTACCGTAAACGATGTTTTAAGCAATATAAACTGCAAAAGGCTCACCACAGCAGTTAGTATCCAGTTAAACATGCAGAGAAGTAATTATAATTCAGCAACCAGTGGATTTTTTATTCTTTTCGGTCTGGAACCTGAGTAACTGCGAACCAATCCATACAAAAATGTCAGAAGAGGCATGCAGGAGCAGAGTTCTTTCATCGAATGAATCATTGGGATCTGAGATGCAGCTATCAGCATGTTTTCGTCATTTCATAGATATCCAGATTTATTGACGCTGTATACGTAGTGATTTGGATTTGTCATCATGATCGACATATGGACGAATATTGAAAATCGGAATACAACTTGTTTGCATTTCGGATTCAGTTAATTACATCGCGTTTTGGGTTTGATTAGTCTGCGATTTTGATATATTCCGCGGTGTCGCCGTGATTATGGGAAGTGTGCATATGCTTTAAATGCATTACTTTGTTGGCTGCAATCTCCACTGAGTGTATACAACGGGAACTGTGGATTTATGTATTTGCTCATAAATATGGATAAAATATCGCCGCATTCCTTTTGGAAAGGAGACCAGTTGGTGGATTATAAGTAATGTCCAAGTAGCTTATATCCTTCCATGTGATGTTGTGGTAAGTCTCGACCTTGTTTTCTCATATTTCATTCGTATGTTGATTATGGTTCAGGCTTTGTATCAGGTAGACATAATTCGATCGACTCTTATTTGTATGGGTGCTATTTTCATGACTGCTGTTTTTTTTTGTCTGAAATTATAGATAAAGGCAAAAGAAACAACAGGTGTAGTCTCTAAGTTCATACATTAAATGGGCCTATAATTTCTGAAGCTCTTACATGTGAATTAGCACTGGTATCTCTTACAAACCCACTTAGTGTGTCATTAAGAGCTTTTTCAAAGGAGACCAGTGAGCTTGCTAGTCGCATTTCCTCAGGTAGTTTGTTCCATATTTGGGCATACCTAATCATGAAAAATTTTTGCCTGGTGGCTGTTTTACATTGTTCTATAGCCACCGTACCTTGAGTGTGTCTAAGGTTATATCCAGTGTCTTCGGAAAACCGAGTACAAATAAAAAAAATAAATATGCCCTCGCTACATCCCCCGTGTAATTCACGCTTGTGTCCATTTTATCCGTTAGAACTAGACCTAAGTCACGTTCCGACGTTGAGCAGGACAAGCTTTCATTGCACAGGGTGTAACTTGCATTCTGCAGTCTACAGGTGCGTAACTTCACTACTTTGCACTTTTTCAGGTTGGAAGTCATTACACTGGTTACCGCCCAGTCTTCCAGAAGCCTTAGATCTGCCTGCAGTCTATCTGAGTCCTCCGGACACTTTACCGCCCTCCATATCTTTACGTCATCAGCGTATAGAAGAGTCGGGCAGTTTAGACGGCATGGTAAATCATTGATAAAAATCAAGAACATCAGTAGTCCCAGGATAGAACCCTGCGACACTCCTGATGACGAGCTGTGCCAAGATGATCGGACTCGATTGACCTTGGTGCAAAATTGCCTTTCAGTTAGGTAGTCCTTCAACCATGACAGAAGTGGTTTACCTAGACCTACCTGGCTTATTTTGTGTAGGAGAAGGTCATGGTGAACAGTGTCAAATGCCTTCTCAAAGTCTAGAAAAATCACATGGACAGGAACATTCATATCCCAGCATGATGTCCAATCGTCCCAAGCTGATAATAAGTTAGTGACGCAGGATCTTCCTTTCCTGAAACCGTGTTGGGCTTCATGGAGTATTTTAGACCTATCCAGATATTCCCTGATGTGATCATCAATAATACTTTCCAGTACTTTCGATGCCACTGGGAGTAGAGCTACTGGTCTATAACTGGTGGGATTTTGCCTATCCCCACCCTTGAAGATCGGAGAAAGGATGCTTCTTTTCCATTCCTTTGGCAGTTTACCCGATTCCATGGAGTGTTGGAACAAGTCGCATAAAGGCCTACAGAGAGCTTCGGCGCACTGTTTCAGAACAGATGGCCTGATGTCATCACAACCTGGGGACTTCCCAGGTATGAGTCGCTGCAGCTTTCTCAGTACTATTGCAGGGTTTATTTGAGGGGTGGCTATTTGGTCTTCCTCCTGTGAAACAGTCATGCCACCATTTTGGTTCGTTACGGTAATACCCACATTGCTGTTTAGCTGTTTGGCGAAGGCTAAACTGAATGTTTCAGCCATCTCCAGACTAGTGAGATATTGACCGTTTTGGCCTACTAAGGCGCAAGCCCCTTGGTTGGTTGGTTTCCTTTCCGACATGAATCGGTACAAATTCTTCGGGTTTGCCAGGAGTTTTTTAGCAAGGTTAGCCTGGAATGACCTTCTGTCCCTCCTGACTCTTGCATTGCACCGGTTCCTGAGTTCCAGGTATGCATCATGGTCGATCTGGCTTCTAGATACGCGCCACGTAAACCAAGCCTTCCTCTTTGCTTGCAGAATACGCTGCGTGCCTCTCTTTAACCATGATGATTTTCTTTTTGGCTGTGCTGTGACTAAAGGGACGGTATCCGAGATCGCTGTATGAATAATCTTTTTTACTGCTTCCCAGTGTTCATCCACAGACAGCTCATCCCATGCTAAGGGCCAGTCTGCATCGGACAAGAGCCTCCGCATTTCAGCGTAGTCAGCCTTGCTGTAACACAGACATAGTTGCGTAGCGTCCCACTGCAAGTGCTCACGGAGAACGAGGTCGAAACCTATGACTGCATGGTCACTACTTCCTAGAGGAGTCATGACCTGGACCTTTTCGACGAGTAACTGGTCACTAGTTAGAATGTAGTCT